GCCTATTTAATCCCTCATTCTCCTTCATTTCAACACACCTCTTGCACTCCAACATATTTCCCTGAGCTATTCATACTTTGCTTCATCTTCCTCATCAAAATATTATTTTTGAGAGTTAGAAATATTTTTTCTTTGAGTGCTATAGAAGTTGTCATCTATAGAGCTTAAATCTTTCAACACTACTTTGCTCAATTGTGTGAGCTTTCATTCTTGTGTTGTAAACTCAATCTCTTTTGAGTGTTGTTCGTAAGACTTGTGTGACTCAAGTCTTGTTGTTGTAAGAAAGTGAGGCTTGTGTGATTCAAGTTCTCAAGTTGTACCGGTTTTTCAAGCACCCGTTGAAGCTTGAAGATTAGTAGGACTTTCGAGAGAGTCTCTCGGAGGATTGGACTAGCCACGAGGTGGTGAACCAGTATAAATCCCGGTGTTCTTCTTTCCCTTACTCTCCTTACTTTATTCCTGCGATTCTATTATTTCACACACGCGAAAAACGCACATTCTTGAGAACAACTCTATTCACCCACCCCCCTCTAGAGTTGCACATTTGTCTAACAATTGGTATCGGAGCGGGAAGTTCTTCGAATACGTTATTTTTTTCAGGAACTAAAAGATCAAATGGCATCAAGAATGTTCAACGCAGGAGTGACCGAGGGACAATCAACCACGAGGCCACCATTGTTCGATGGAACAAACTACTCGTATTGGAAGGAGAGGATGAGAATCTTTATCCAATCCAACGACTACAAGCTGTGGTTGATTGTGAAGAACGGCTGCGGAGTCCCCGATACTTGCTCAATTGTGTGAGCTTTCATTCTTGTGTTGTAAACTCAATCTCATTTGAGTGTTGTTCTTAAGACTTGTGTGACTCAAGTCTTGTTATTGTAAGAAAGTGAGGCTTGTGTGATTCAAGTTCTCAAGTTGTACCGGTTTTTCAAGCACCCGTTGAAGCTTTAAGATTAGTAGGACTTTCGAGAGAGTCTCTCGGAGGATTGGACTAGCCACGAGGTGGTGAACCAGTATAAATCCCGGTGTTCTTCTTTCCCTTACTCTCTTTACTTTTTCCTACGATAATTTTTACGAAAAACGTACATTCTTGAAAACAACTCTATTCACCCCCCCTCTAGAGTTGCATATTTGTCTAACACCCCATACCTTCGGGACAGTACTGAGGCACCGTGTACTTGTACCGAGGGTACCGTAAGGGGTTGTCTGAACTAGGAACTTTTCCATAAACCATATTTTTGAACTGTTAAATCCTATTTTTAATACCATTCAAATATGATCAATATTAAAATGATTTATGCAAGTAAATATGATGTTTTGAAGAATTCAAAAACTTTGTGTGATGCATGACGGTAAGCTAGGGTGTTAACACTCAACGATAGGTTACTATTTGTTATTGAATATTATGATGATTATTATTGATTGTTGATTATGATTTAACATTGATAAATATTCTGATTAAAATGATAATTATGAATGTTTGAACCACGATTAAAAACAAGAATATTATGATGATTATGAAAATGATAATGATTTTTAAGGGTATCTAAAAGAGCTCTAAGATATACCAATGTGACAAATTTGGTTAGGCCTTGTGGGTATGGTGCCTGGTGGGCAGGGTTAAAATGTACGTACATGATCCACAAATAAAACTTGATTACCTACTCATTTGGGGGTACCACCTAACCCGAAAGTGACTAGTCCGCTGTTCGGTTTTGAGAGTGATCCATAAGACTCGTAGGATGGATCATCGATCCTTGTGTTCTGCCTTAAACTAATATATAGTTTAAGATCCCGGTTAAAAATAGTCTTAGAAAATTATAGTTTAAGAGATCAGTTATTATTATGAATTTGGCCTTAGACTAAGCATAAGTTTAAGAGCGTTGTTATGATTTGACATTAAACTAAGAATAAATTAAGAACACTGTTGATATTATGTATATTGAATATTAGAATCAAATAACATGTGTTGATATCAAATGATCTGATATGAATTAATATTGAATATCTGAATTGAATATTATGTGGATGATATCAAATAATTTGATTATGAATTGATATTCAATTTATATGGATGTTCGATGCATTAGATATCCTTACTCTGTAACACCCTAATCTGTCCAGGTATGCAGTCCCTTTCCGACTTAAGTATTAACTTAGTAATTGTAAAAATTTAAAACATTTTAATCACTTTTATTCATCATAAGAATAATATTCATAATAGTAACAATACAGAGTTTTCAATGTTGCGTAAGTTTAGCATAATTTATTTATGTCATTCAATTCAAACCATCACATCCATCCCGACTATCTCGCCTCTGTCTACATCCAGCTTCACGTCACATCATTCTTTCTATTTACCTGCATGTAGAAAATAAAACATACTACAGGCACACCGCTAAAGCTGAGTAAGAATATCTAATGCGTCGAACATCCATAAAAATTGAATCTCAATTCATAATCAAATCATTTGATATCATGCACACAATGTTCAATTCAGATAACCTTAGAAATCAATATCAAAGTACTAAGTTGGTCATGTGGGTATATCTTAGAGTTCTTCTAGATACCCTTAACAATACACATCATTTTCATAATCATTAGTATATTCACTTTGAATCACGGCTCATTAACTCATACTCATCATTTAAATCAAAATAATCAAACGGAAATATTTATTCACAATTTCATTCTTACGATTTATTTATTCAATGCCATATTGTATCACTTTGTCAAAATAAGATCGTTATCATCATAATTACATGATCACCCGTTTAATCGTCTTAATCAATATTTAATAGAAATTATAATCAACGACGTTTCATTATGGTTTATCCATTATAATAATCATTCAATCAGAATATTCACCAAGGTTTGATCATAACCATTATTCATTAATAGTCATCATTATATTCATTAACAAATAGCGGCCTAACGTCGAGTGTAAACACTCTAACTTATCGTCATGCATCAAACAAAGTTCTTGAATCTATCAAAACATCATTTTATTTCCAAAAGTTATATTCATATTGATCATAATTGATTGGTATAAAAAATAGGATTTAATAGTTCAAAAATCGGGTTTTCCGTAAAAATATCGGATCACACGGTACCCCTCAGAGTACCGGCTAACGGTACCTTGGAACCGTGCTGACGATACAGGGAACCGTCGGACTCTCCACTCTAGCGATGATTACTCCCAACTCCGGCAACCTCAAGATTTCTGGGGAGCACCAATGAAGTCTCCACTCAACAAGGAACAAAATGAAACTAATTTTAGAAAGATTGGTGAGGAATGAGGAGAAGAGTTTACTCCTTATATGGGGAGAAAAAAGGAGAAGCTGCCAAGGTTGTCACTACAATAATCCTCCTTTGGCGATTCTACGATCGGCTAGTGAGCTAGGTGGCACCGTATGCACAATTTCCCTGATTGGGACTAATTTGGTCCAGTCGGGGTACACTTTTTTATCCAACTTTCTTCGAATTGAAATCCGTTTGCACCGTTGCGATCAGACAGTTAAACTCTATCCAACGACATAATTTTTATGTTTATTTGTAATACTTTTTCCGACAACATATTTTTGGTGTTTGACTTTGACATAATCAAAATTGATTTAATTGACCTTTATTCAAAAAGGTTCTTTCATTTAATTCGTATTACTTATTTTCATAATTTATTTCAACAAATCATTTTAAATTTCATATCATAAACAAATTCTTCGTTTATTCTTAATTTGGGTCTCTATTAAGGTTTCCAATCAAGATCACACAATAAGTCAATATATTAGATTTATCTCTATGAGATTTATCCCGATTGTGATATTGAATACTAAAACATATTTTATTTCGGCTCCAAGCTCAACAATAATTTATTTTAATAAAAAAAATTTGATTCATAATTCAATAATAATATTAGGGTATGTTTTTGGGCGTTACATACTCAGCTTCACCGCTGAGCGTGTAGTATGTTTTATTTGCTACACGCAAGCAAATGAAATAAAGAATGATGTGATTGATTTTGGTTGCAAATGGAGACACGAGAAGTCAAATAGATGTGTGAAGGTTTGAATTGTTCAATAAATATTAAAAAAACGAATTAATAATTGTTATAAACTTTTAGGATATATATATTAATTTAGTCTCTCTGTCCCTATAATATTGTCAATATTTGAATTGTTTGGTCAAACTGTGGCACTCTTTGACCTTGAATTATTCAAAAAGTATATTTAGTTATAATATAAATTTAGTAAAGTTATGTTTAATTATTTGAAATTATATATAATTTTTAGTAAAAAAGTACCACAATTTAATTAAAAAGTCAAACTGTGGTAATTAGGCCTGGACACGGTACCGCTACCATCACCGCCGGTCTCATGTCTCTCCGGTTCCGAGGAACCGGTACCAACACCGCCCCCT